TCCTTCCCCACCATTACCCCCTCCCTTGTCCCCTCGTCCTCCCCACCATCTCTCACTTCCGTCCAATCGTCATCCCCACTATTCCCCACTCCCTCGCCCGATGCCTTCCCAAATGGTCTGATGTTCCCATCAGAAAATTGAGAACATCAAGTGATTTGATGTTCCCATCACTGATGTATAAGAAAAACAGTTAAAAATTGAAATGAAAATATGAAAAAATAAAAATATAAACTATACTAACGAGATGAACGGTATGGTAAACAACACAGCTCAATTGCAACGCAATTCGCAGAAAATAATTAAATCAAAATGAAAATAAATTCAAATCTATAAAAATTCAATTAATCAATGCAATCAAAAACATTGAAATGTAAATGTAACATATTTAGTATAGCATGTGTGTTGCTCTTACGTGCAACAGATGGCGCTGTTTTTCAAGAAAAGCATAGTTTTACCTGTCACAGGTGTGGCATCTATACTTATACTTACGAAATAAACGGTATGGTAAATAACACAGCTCAATTTCAACACAATGTCACACAAAATAATTAAATAAAAAATAAAATAAATCGAAATCTATGAAAAAAAAAATTATCAATGCAATCGGAAACATTGACATGGAATTCGTGACACATAGCGTGTATGTTGCTATTATGTGCAACAGATGGCGCTGTTTTTCAAAACCTCATGGTTTTACCTGTCACAGGGGTGGCATCTATATAGTAGGTATATAAAAAGACGCGCCTATTCGAAAGCAACGTTATGTCAAAATTTCAAAGTAATCGGTAAAGAGGTTTCGAAGATTTCCCTCGCATGAAAAACAGTTTTTCAGAAAAAACATGTTTTTTTTTTACCGTCACAGACGTGACATCTATATCTTGAGGTTATCTTGAGATGATTTCGGGGCTTTTAGTGTCCCCGCGGCCCGGTCCTCGACCAGGCCTCCACCCCCAGGAAGCAGCCCGTGACAGCTGACTAACACCCAGGTACCTATTTTACTGCTAGGTAACAGGGGCATAGGGTGAAAGAAACTCTGCCCATTGTTTCTCGCCGGCGCCTGGGATCGAACCCAGGACCACAGGATCACAAGTCCAGTGTGCTGTCCGCTCGGCCGACCGGCTCCGGCTCCGGCTCCGACCTTTATATATATAGTATATATATAAAATTCTGCTCGGATGCGAATGGAACGTTGTGTGAAAATGTCAAGGCAATCGGTGAAGAACTTTCGGAGATTAGTGGTTATGCACAAACGAACATTTCCATTTTTATTTATATATATTTATGCAAGAATTCGGACAAGTCCTTAATCCAAATTTTCCCCGGAATACGACCCGCCAAATCGTTTAACAACCAGGTACCCGTTCACTGCTGGGTGAACAAAGGCTACAGTTAAAGATTGGTGCCCAGTAAATCATCCCCCGGCCTGGATACGAACCCAGGCCAAAGCGCTCGCGAAACGCCAGGCGAGTGTGTTACCACTTCGCCACGGGGACTGCTATCTCGATAGGTTAGGTGGGTTGCTTGGGTTAATACCTTTCTGGTTAATCTTAAAAGTTGGATTTCTCACGTAGTGGTATAGCAAGAGTTGGCTTACCATTATTGGTATAATGGTATAATGGTAATGGTATCATGGCAAGTTGGCTTACCATTAGTTGGCTTACCATTATTTTGATCAACACTGGTACGCTCTGTAATAGTCTTGACCTTCAATGGTATGATTTTTAAGACATTTAGGGTAAACTTTACTAGATCCACAACATTTTTATATAATAAATATATATTTATTGAAAAAATTAAGTATAAATAAAACAAAAGTAATTATATTAAAAGTATACAATAATAAAAGTATAACTAAATATATTTATTGTAGTGTATTATGATGGAAGGGAGAAAATAATGGAACAGAAGAGACATAATGGAAAACGAAACGAAAGAATGGAATAACACCGCCATTGAAAAAAAAAACTTGAAAATGAAATTGAAATTGAAATAAGTTTATTGAGGTAAAATACACACAAAAAACTTGAGGTTACATTTATCACACTATTAGCATGTCTTTGTGTTTAAACTCAACTTTGATCAACTTAAAAGGTTTAACATGTATCAACTTTAAACTTTAGAGCAAACATGTGTTAAGTTCTTTTTAAATAAAGTCAAACGTGTAGAGAAGATTAGACAAGTTAAACAGGCTAACTAATGTCATAAATATTAAGTGAACTTACTGATGAGTGTTCGTATGCTGTGACCGTGATGGTAAGTGTTCGTATGCTGTGACCGTGATGGTAAGTGTTCGTACACTGTGACCGTGATGGTAAGTGTTCGTATGCTGTGACCGTGATGGTAAGTGTTCGTATGCTGTGACCGTGATGGTAAGTGTTCGTATGCTGTGACCGTGATGGTAAGTGTTCGTACACTGTGACCGTGATGGTAAGTGTTCGTACACTGTGACCGTGATGGTAAGTGTTCGTATGCTGTGACCGTGATGGTAAGTGTTCGTATGCTGTGATCGTGATGGTAAGTGTTCGTACACTGTGACCGTGATGGTAAGTGTTCGTACACTGTGACCGTGATGGTAAGTGTTCGTACACTGTGACCGTGATGGTAAGTGTTCGTACACTGTGACCGTGATGGTAAGTGTTCGTACACTGTGACCGTGATGGTAAGTGTTCGTACACTGTGACCGTGATGGTAAGTGTTCGTATGCTGTGATCGTGATGGTAAGTGTTCGTACACTGTGACCGTGATGGTAAGTGTTCGTATGCTGTGACCATGATGGTAAGTGTTCGTATGCTGTGACCGTGATGGTAAGTGTTCGTACGCTGTGACCGTGATGGTAAGTGTTCGTATGCTGTGACCGTGATGGTAAGTGTTCGTACACTGTGACCGTGATGGTAAGTGTTCGTACACTGTGACCGTGATGGTAAGTGTTCGTATGCTGTGACCGTGATGGTAAGTGTTCGTATGCTGTGATCGTGATGGTAAGTGTTCGTACACTGTGACCGTGATGGTAAGTGTTCGTATGCTGTGACCGTGATGGTAAGTGTTCGTACACTGTGACCGAGATGGTAAGTGTTCGTACACACTGACCGTGATGATAAGTGTTCGTACACTGTGACCGTGATGGTAAGTGTTCGTATGCTGTGATCGTGATGGTAAGTGTTCGTACACTGTGACCGTGATGGTAAGTGTTCGTATGCTGTGATCGTGATGGTAAGTGTTCGTACACTGTGACCGTGATGGTAAGTCACAACGATTTTACTACCTATTTCTCCAGCCTCTAAAAAAAGAACTTCCTAAACCCAGAAATGAGGTTGACATGACCCCTCCTGAACCCAGAGGTGAGGTTCACATGACTCCTAAACACAGAAGTGAGTTGTCCCACTAATCGTGCTACCCCTTTCATTTGTTTTATCTTGTTTCCTTATTCTCCTTCTCCTTTTCGTTCATCTATGTCTCCTGTGCTCCTGCTAAGGCCCTTCTCCATTCTACTCCTCTTCCTTTTCTTCCTCCTCTTCTCCTCGTGGTAACTGGGACCAGCGTGAGTGGGATTGGATTCACATTTGACTTTGGTGACACACGGACTTGTCGTAAATTTTTATTTTGTCGGTATATAGAAGTTTTGTTGTGTATGTGATAGTGTGCGAATACTTGGGTAATAGTGTGTGTGTGTGTGTGTGTGTGTGTGTGTGTGTGTGTGTGTGTGTGTGTGTGTGTGTGTGTGTGTGTGTGTGTGTGTGTGTGTGTGTGTGTCTTTCACACACAACTGTACAAAGTTCAGAGGTATGCCATTAGACTAGCTTGAGAGCTGAAGGGAATCAGTTACGACGGAAGACTAATAGAATTAATCTTCACTTCTCTGGAACTAACAGGGGTAAACATGATCACCATAACATGATCAGGAAAATAAAGATAACAAAGACTGAATATTTACCATGAGCAGCACACAAATAAAAGGACAAAGTGTGTGCGAACAAATGAAATACATTTAGAAGTGCACTGGTGGGAGCAATCTCCATTCATAGCTTTATATGTAGATGTGACAGAGCCTAATAGGTTCTGGTGCTTATATACACCAGTGGCTTATGGGTTGAGAAGTGGCGCCTGTGAGTCGTAGCTCATCCCTCCCCAGTACAACTAGGTGAGAACACAAGCTTGCTCCTCGTTCAGGGCATTCCACGTTCCTTATCCAGGACATTCCTGTTCAGACTGAATGCACAGCTGCAATTATTTCCACGTAATTATTTTGATGTGCCTCTCAGGATTTACAGGGATCAGACTCCCACGCTAAACTCCTAGTGGAATGGCTCTCGTGTTGTTTATACCTGTTTGTAAAGGTTAACTTTATTTTTGTTGCAAAGGATTATAATTTCTTTCAATTCTTAATTCTGTTTTTTTTTTATGAAAGTTGAAGAGCAATTTCTGTAACCATAAGGGAGAATGTCTATCTGTTTGATTTTCTGTCTGTGCGAGGTTGGAAGTTGGAGGTTGAAAAGCGAGGTTGGAGGCCAAACGCTTCGGGCTAGCCTCACGCAACTTTCTATGGTGATTGGTGATTTTATGGCGAATCTCACAGCGTGGTCGGTGTCAGCCACCCTTGAAGTGAAATCTGTTTCGGCACCTCTAAGCACCTGCTTCTCCCCCCTAGCCTCCAATTTAAATGGAGAATAATCACCTTCATTCATTTGAATTTTAGTGTATTCAGATATTGACATTCAAAGCGAACGTTCACAAGACAGATGTGCATTCTGGGTACAAGCGTTTGATTACAGTGAGGAGGGATAGTGTATAGCAAGTATGGTAACGTAATAGAATGTGGAAAAGTAAGATTTAAAATTAAAAGTGAAAAAACACATTTTTCCTTAAGTGGAACAGTAGGAAAACCCTTTTCCTACTAGTTTTCCCTAAAACACAATGTGCCAATCGGTTTACAATCAGGTTCCATATTACTACTGGGTGAACAGGAGCTTCTGGTTATGGATTAGTGCCCCAGTCAATCCTCCCTAGCCCCTGGGGCTCGAACATGGCCGAAATCGCCCACGAGATGTAGAGCGAACGCGTTCTCTCTGGCCTTCAACACTCTCATATCCCAGCCACTTAAATCCAGCAGAAGAGAGTGCCATCTGTGTCTCCATGCCGCCAGCGGTGAGGATCTCTGCGGACACAGTCACATCCCTGTTGTCAATATCAAGGTTGACCAGCGAGTGTCGAGATCGCTATCGGCGTCATCACTCTCTGATATACTGCCAGATCGAGAAGGGGGGAAACTGCTATCACATGTCATAAATAAGAAAATAATTTCCTGCAGAGACCTGACTTTACACTATCAGTTGCTCCATTTTAGGGACGCCGGCGCGTCCTCCGTGTGTCAGAGATAGGGGGAAAGGACAAATAATGGAGCATATTGACAGTGGGTAAAGGAAATTTTTAAGGGGAAATACATCCATTATTTCCAGATATCTGTGTGACTATTTGGAATGTTATGCATCAAAAAAAAACTGAGCGGTGGGTTACTTGAGGAAATGTTCATAACAAGAATTATTGCAACTGAAGGAGTGTTTTGCATGTAATGTACAACTGGTGTACAGATTTAAGTTAAAATATAAAATTCATCAATATTTCATCTATATTAGAAATCTCAAGTGACTCATTCAGGGAAGCTGAATGGGATGAACATAAATCATGAACTATGATTTTACGATGCATGTGAGGTGTTGCATGATGAGTGATGAGATATTGCTTGGTTCATCTGTCCACAAAAATCTTAATTGCTATTATAGAAAAAATGTGGTAGCTTTTTTTATTAGTTTTATTATATTAAAAATAACTCCATTATTCCTGCAGCGAAGTGGGCAGAAGACGACGATTTTGATCAAACTCTTGTGATTATCAAGAGACCGAAGTTAAGGCTCGGGAAAGCCACCAAGATCTCAGTATTTGAAGTTTATTATATAAATATTTTTCCCCCTTTTTCCTTGAGATTTCCATTGGTTGTCTTAAAAGCTGAAATTAGTGGCATTGAAGTTTAAATTGCTTCGTAATATGGTTATTGTATTGCAGGCTCCGGTGATATATTTACAAGACCTAGGGATACGGATTGCATCAACTCCAGCTCCCTTTTTCTGTTCTTTTATCGCGCTCTGCGCCTCTGATCTTGCATACCATATAATTTTGTCTGACTCTTTATCTGTTTCTGCCAGTCTCTTTATGTATATCTTTATCTTTTTTTTCAGTTTATCGTTATTTTTGTCAGTTTCCGATTGTCTGTCGGTCGCATGTGACTCTTGGTCTGGCTGTTCAGTTCTGTTTCTTCAGAATTATGTCTCTGTGGCCGTTATCAAAGCCTTTCTATAAATCAGTATCTGTCTCCCTGGTTCTTTATTTCTCTCCCTTCTACTCTAATTCTAGCTTTCTCTCTCTCTCTCTCTCTCTCTCTCTCTCTCTCTCTCTCTCTCTCTCTCTCTCTCTCTCTCTCTCTCTCTCTCTCTCTCTCTCTCTCTCTCTCTCTCTCTCTCTCTCTCTATATATATATATATATATATATATATATATATCTTTCCATGGGTTACTATCACTATTTCTGGTTTCCTATCTCTGCCTCTGTAGCTTTTTAAATTTGTATCTGATCTTCTCTCTCTCTGGCACTGGGTTTTGTATCTGGCTCTGGTTTTCTATCTGGCTCTGGTTTTCTATCTGCCTCTGGTTTTCTATCTGCCTCTGGTTTTCTATCTGGCTCTGGTTTTCTATCTGCCTCTGGTTTTCTATCTGGCTCTGGTTTTCTATCTGGCTTTGGTTTTCTGTCCATATCGCTGCAGTTTTCTTTCCTTCCGGCTATGAGTGTCTGTGTGATGTTTTTTTCAATGTCTCTCTGGTTTCGTATTTCTTTGACTTGGTGTCTCTGACTCAGTTTCACTTCCTAAATTTTTCTCTCACTCACTAGCTTTTAATTATTGAACGTTATTATATTATTGCGTTCTAGCGTTATAGAGTTATTGAACGACATATAGCGAAAGGTTCGAGGGGATGGTTGAACATGGTTAAATGAACAATGTTTATGGAACTATGGAGCCAATTTACTCATCGTCGGAAATATTAATAGTATGCAAAATCTTGCGATGTTCAGAACATTTTGAGGTTAAAGATTATTATTAAAGGTATTGATTTTGTTTCATTCTAAGAGCCGAGCCTAAAAAAAATAATTTGCAACAAACATTGCATTCTGGATACCAGCACAAGGGCTACTCGCCTGTGGGTCTTCTTGCCTTTAATGCATTAGCATGGGGCTATTAAAGTGAGTCCTTTTTTGCGTCTAGTAAGTCAGGACGTGGGCTACTAACTTGCGTCCCTCCAGACTACCCCGTTAACAAGCTGTTACTAGCCAGTTAACAAGCGGTTACTAGTCCGTTAACAAGCGGTTACTAGTCCGTTAACAAGCGGTTACTAGCCCCTTAACAAGCGGTTACTAACCCGTTAGCAGGTGGTATCCATCTGCTTGCTATTCTATCCTCATCTATCCAGGATTCAATTATAACAGTCACGTTATTAAATTATCTCTGTATGGATAAAGGGGTTTCGATATGTTTTTTCTTCATTTATTCCCAGTTTAGCTTCTTTCGCTATCTCGATCATATTCCCTTGTGTCTCGTTATCCTGCTTCCTTCCTTCTCACTAACCGCCACCCTCTCTCTCTCTTTCCCTCCCTCTCCCCTCTCCCACATTCCCCCTCCCTCCTACCTCCCCCCCCCCGTCCAAACCCCTCCCACGAGACAGTGATCAACGCCCACACATCCGAAGCGGAAATTAGTGCCACCGCCCCCGTAGGGTTACCCCAGCACGCCTGATCACCACCGCTGGCACCGTCGACACCGTCACATATCACCGTCGTCACCACCAGCACTGTCACTATCGTCGCCACCACTATCACCGTCGTCACCACCAGCACTGTCACTATCGTCACCACCACTATCACCGTCTTCACTATACTTACCACCGTCATCATCACCATCACCGTTGTCACCATCACTACCACTACTTACACTGCCATAACGGAAGTGTCCTCACCGCGACCTGCCTCCCTCCCCCCCTTCTTCACCACCCCTTCCCCTCCCCCCACTTTCCTCCAACCCCCCCATCCTCCTTCCAGTCCCTTCCCCCCATATACAAGGACTGAATAGAAGTCAATTGAATCCAAACAGATCGTTAACCAGCGGGGTTAACCATAACTTACGTTAATGAAACGAGGAGATTAATTAAGTTATTGCAATCGCAGACGAGAGAACTGGTTGAGATGAAGAAGCTGGCCCTTGTTATGAGTTGTGAAGGGACGAGGGCGGCGTTGTATAGTTGTATGGGGGACGAGGGGGGGCGTTGTATAGTTGTATGGGGACGAGGGCGGCGTTGTATAGTCTTATGGGGACGAGGAGGGCGTTGTATAGTTGTATGGGGGACGAGGAGGGCGTTGTATTTTTGTATGGGGGACGAGGGTGGCGTTGTATAGTCGTATGGGGGACGAGGGTGGCGTTGTATAGTCGTATGGGGGCGAGGGGCGTTGTATAGTCGTATGGGGGTCGAGGGCGGCGTTGTATAGTCGTATGGGGGACGAGGGCGGCGTTGTATACTCGTATGGGTGACGAGGGCGGCGTTGTATAGTTGTATGTGGGACGAGGGGGGCGTTGTATAGTTGTATGGGAGACGAGGGCGGCGTTGTATAGTCGTACGGGGGGCGAGGGGGCGTTGTATAGTCGTATGGGGGGCGAGGGGGCGTTGTATAGTCGTATGGGGACGATATGGGTGTTGTGTCTTCGTAGGTGGGTCAGAGGGATGAAGTACTTTCGTAAGGGGACAAGAAGGGTGTCGTACAGTCGTTAGGGAACGAGAAGGTTGTCGTACAGTCGTTAAGGGACGAGAAGGGTGTCGTACAGTCGTTAGGGAACGAGAAGGGTGTCGTACAGTCGTTAGGGGACGAGAAGGGTGTCGTACAGTCGTTAGAGGACGAGAAGGGTGTCGTACAGTCGTTAGGGGACGAGAAGGGTGTCGTACAGTCGTTAGGGAACGAGAAGGTTGTCGTACAGTCGTTAGAGGACGAGAAGGGTGTCGTACAGTCGTTAGGGAACGAGAAGGGTGTCGTACAGTCGTTAGGGGACGAGAAGGGTGTCGTACAGTCGTTAGAGAACGAGAAGGGTGTCGTACAGTCGTTAGGGGACGAGAAGGGTGTCGTACAGTCGTTAGGGGACGAGAAGGGTGTCGTACAGTCGTTAGAGGACGAGAAGGGTGTCGTACAGTCGTTAGGGGACGAGAAGGGTGTCGTACAGTCGTTAGGGGACGAGAAGGGTGTCGTACAGTCGTTAGAGGACGAGAAGGGTGTCGTACAGTCGTTAGGGGACGAGAAGGGTGTCGTACAGTCGTTAGGGGACGAGAAGGGTGTCGTACAGTCGTAGAGAGCAAGGCACAGAGTCACAACATCAGCCAAAACACAAGTCAGCAGTCGTTTGAACCTGAGCCCAGCGGTGCACACACACACAAAGCTCACCTTACTCTCCAAGTGAAAACGATCGACTGAATGTATCATTAGTAAGGTAAGATAATTACGAAGAGCAGGCGCTCAGCCAGGATGATAATTAGCAATTGGAAGGATTATGAAGACACGATAGGAGCGGTGAGAGAAGGAAAGATTGACGGAACTGCGTCCTACCATTTGGACCATCGGGAATCGAACGCGAACGAATATATTGCTGATTATTATTCATCGAGTATAAGAGACAGAGATAACTAAATTGTGATGTGGAAAGTTGATTTTAATGAGATATGACATTTTTGTTTTCGCTATGAAGTAGAGAGCTGAATTTTTATAGCCTCTTTCGGATAGGAATGAAATTATATTCAGAAGAGTTCATGAATATCAAATTGCATGAGCTTGAAATATATGGTTGGGTATAATTAGGTTTCTATGTATGAATGGAGCTAATATTTGACAACTCGACGCCAATATATATTTGGCCTTTAGTGAGATAATATTTGGTCCCAGGAACATAATAATAGGGATGTCAATAGTGGGATATTTATTGTAAGAAGTCGCAAAAAACGCCCACAATTACATTTGACAGTAAGACACAAATATAATTCACTGTTAATATCCGTAATATAATTTATATAATTGGAAAAATAAATCTTCCATCACTCACGATATATTTGAATATCACACAAATAGCATATTCTTTAGGCCTCTTCAAACGACTATTATAGCCGAAACACCTGGTTAACTGAGAGAGAGAAGAGCCCTTCTACCATTAGCAGGTCACTCTAATAGAGATATTTGGCAAAATAAAATACCTTGCTCTATATAGAGACTAACAGCTCTCGCTAAAAGGCAAAAATATATCTTTTTCAGCTTGACAGTTCAGAGTAAGGTGTAAAGCTTTTAACTCCTCCAGCGAGGATCGAACACATTCTGAAAGACTCGAACGCACTCCGAAGGACTCGAACACACTCTGAAGGAATCGAACACACTCTAAAGGACTGGAACACACTTTGAAGAACTTGAACATACTTTGAAAGACTGGAACACACTTCGAAGGACTCGAACACACTGTAAATAACTCGAAAACACTTTGAAGGACTCGAACACACTTTGAAGGACTCGAACACACTCTTTCGCACTTTCCTGAGTGCGAAAGACTTGGTGTAAATCTTTACTTAAAATTCACACATACAAGAATGTGTGTTTTTATCCTAAAATAATTTAATCTCATTCTAAGGTAACATTCATTGAAAATAAATGTGAATGAATACACATTATAGTCATTAAACCGAATGAATATTTATTGTTAAGTGTTAAAAAAAACATAGAAGTTTAGGTATATAGATATACCTGAAAATAAACGTATATAGATCCTTTTGAGGCTGAGGAAAATGTCTAGGTAAGAGCCAGACTCCTGCTCGCCGAGTCATCCATCACTCCAGGAGGTGCAGCGAGAAAACTTCAGCTGTCAGCAGCTCGTCCCCAGGGGAGAGGGGGACTGGCACCACCAGCATCCCCTGTCCTCTGGCCCTCCATCGCAGATATTGCCCAACACTCGTTATTACTCAAAGATATTTCTCGATTTAATACTCCTAGACCCTATCCAATGCTCATAAATACTATCAAGTACTCCTAAACACTTTCCAGTACTCCTCTGTACTTCTAAATACTTTTCAGCACTCATTCATACTCGTAAATACCACCTAGTACTTCTTAACTCTATAAAAGTACTGTGAGACACTCTTTAAGGTTTATCAATACTTCAAATACTGCCCGGTACTCCCACTTATCCTCAGTCTAAATATTTACCCAACATGTTACAATTTAAATCAACACTTCAAAATGTTGCTCATTTCTATCAAATATATATATATATATATATATATATATATATATATATATATATATATATATATATATATATATATATATATATATATATATATATATATATATATATATATATATATTTGTAATTTATTGCAGAAAAATTTTCCTTAAAGTATTGATTTAAGTCTAAAGTATATTTGCTGGTTGGTGTGACTACTGTTGCAGCCCTAATAAGTTCATCAAGCCATTGGCAACCTAAATTATACCTAGAAACTCTTGAATACTCCCTAACATAAATTATTCTATTTAGCTCTCCTGGCTTCGTGCATGTCACTGATAATAACTTAATGAGAAGGATGATGCTTTTAAATCCCCTTCCCCCACACACTCAACACGCAAGAAACTGTTACCAAAACAAGCCGGCCATGACTTCACACACACTTGTCAACAAGTCAGAG